CTGTTGCTCAGAGCTCAAACTCTTGAGCGAGCTCTTAACCAACTGAGCCATTTGGCTGGCCCCCAGCTCTCTTCTTATAGGGATCTGCAACAGGGAGAATGAGTGAGGGTTTGGAGTGCTGGGAGATGTGTTTGTTTCCTGTATGTCAATGTTACCTCAATAACAGATTTCAAACGGCAGTTATACTTACTTTCAATATCCTTTTTTTTTTTATTACTATTATTCATTCACAGCCAACCTCATTGTCAACCTGAGAGATACCAGCATAGCTGTCTGACGTGTTGCTTGAAGAGTTCTGAGCCCCAGGTCTTTGCGCTCACTATCCCTAATCTTCTGCACCAGCTTAGCAGTACCTACTATTAAGATAGGAAAATTATAGGCAGTCAGGGAAATTGCCACGGTAGAGGGAATCAGGCAGAAACCAAAACAGAGGCAGGGAAATAATTTTGTTAGCTGACAGACAGGTTTGAGGTTTAAGTCACAGGACCCACCAGAGTAACAAACTCAGATGGGGGAGGAGGAAAGTTTTTTTCAAGCCTGTAACAAAAAAGTCAGGAATTCCTAGGTAGAATGCATATCTTCAAACAGGTTAGTTAACATAACGTAAGGCAGTCAGGAATCCCCAGGTAAAATGCATATCTTCAAAGCATAGGCTTGGCACCAAAAAGCACCAGCCAGCTCTTCTCCCCAGGCATACAAAAAAAGGTATAAAAACAAATCCATTGCCCTACCTAGCTAGTGGGCATTCCAGTTTCGGATGCCCCTTCTCACTTTGAGAGCTGTAACTCTTTCTGCTCTAATAAACTATCCTGTGCTGCAAACCATACCTCTCTGGTCCGTGTCTCCATTCTTCGGTGCTGCGAGACCGTGATCCTGGCACACACACACACACACACACACACACACCCCAAAAATCCTACTTCACTATTAGAGTTCTGAGCCTCAGATCCATGGAACCAGCCCTACAGTCCTCTAGATTCATGTAACCCTCACCTCTTCCCTTTCTTCCTCAGTTCCATGAATGAAATCACCCTCTTACCCTTAGTGTTTCTTGGTTATGAACCAGTTAGTCGTGCAATATAATATCTCCCTTAACTTGTTTTGTTCTTCAATAGCTATTTACCTGATTCATTATATTTAATCCTATCCCTCTAAACTCACTAAGGTGGTTTTTCTTTTTCTGACTTAATCATGACTGTTACAGTACTGATTTTGGTATACAAAAAAAAGCAGAAGTAGTGTGGATGGAAAAGGGGCCACATATTAACCTGACAAGCTCAGGAGATTGAAAATAACCACATAAGATGGCATGAACATAAAAAAATTTCATAACTAAGTGGGCCATGGTGGGAAGTCACATCTTTAGCTTCCTTCATAAAGTTAGTCTGTGCCTTTTCAGTGGACCTCTCTTGTGTTTTTGCACCTAATATAACATCTTTGGAATGCCTGTGATCCTTTTTCTGGACCAGAGCTGGAAACAGCAAAATTCCTCATTGTTATGCTTGTCTCCTGATTACCATCTCTATGTGCTGTAAAAAGTTAACTGTTAACTATCCTGCACCCACCTGTGTAAAACAAGTACCTGTCTCTCCAATTACTTTTATCCAATCCCAGAGATTTCCCTGCTTTATTTTTTCCCACCCCCTTAATCTATCACCAATGGATAATGTAACCTTCCTCCTTTGATTCTATGTATAAAATAAGCTGCAAACTGCCATTTTGCAGGGCATTTTCTCAACCCGTTGAGATTTTGCTTCCCAGCAATTGTCGTCAGTTTGGCTCAAATAAAGTCGTATAAGTTTTCTCTTAGGCTGGATGTTTTTCGTCAACAGTAGGAAGCATGAAAAGTTTTTATTTAAGGGCATTCCTTACCACTGCCCTTTTCTATCTTGGAAAGTTTATTTAAATTTACATCAAGATCCAACAAAATAAGAAAAGACAGGATGACAACAACAGTTATCTCTCAATTTCTGGATTTCTTTGGTTATAAAATGTGATAAAGAAGATACTTCCAATTTTAAGTAGGTCTTGGTAAACAAGTGATTTTTCTGAAAATAACAACAACCATGCAATGCCAAATAAATTTTTAAAATTTATATTGTAAATGTATCAGCTGCAGGGAAATGAACATTTCAAGACATAAAAATTACAGAGAAGGGAAAACAATTTGAATTGTTAGTGTTTATTTCCCCTGGAAAATGGTTGTTCCCTAAAATATGATAATTCTGAATTTAAATTAAGGATCAAACTTGGCCCACTCAGTTAGAGCACCTCTGCTAAACAAAGAGAAACCTGAAAACCTCTTCATGTGTACAAGAGATTAGACTGATAAATTATGTTACCATGCTAAAAATCTGGCAGCTCCCCTCATGAAAGCCAAAACTCAAGAGAGGTTGATGGAACAAATAATAGGTTTACTCAAAATGCCAGGATTCTGAGGGGATGGCCTTTGAACGTTCCTCCCCCTCACCTCACCCCCGCATGCCAAAAGATGTTTTAGGCAGATAAGGAGAGGCAGAAGAAAGGAAAGGGGAAGTTGGTCAGGCAATTCCTGGAAAAAGGAACTTCCCAGAGGCTGGTTTGTTTCAGGGATAGGCGTGGACCTTATGCAGATGTAAAAATTTCTTTCAAGTCAGTGTCCTGGAGGTTTCCTTGAGGAACCAGGGTCATTGAGCCTGGTCTGCATATGGTCTGGAGTAAACAGAACCATTGAAACTGGTATGCATAGTAAATGTATAATAAATAGAATCATTAAGGTTTGGCAGGAGGGAAGAGAAGCAAAGAAAAGAAAAACTGTCAAAAGGTCCTAAACTAAACTACACTGTTAAATCAAGTTACACTAGAAGTTTAAATCTCAAAATGGAAGATACAGTGTCACTGTTTCAGTCAGACACATAAGGCCATCAGATTCAAAATTAGTTTTCCTCAGACCACATTTGCTGAGTTTAGGTCCTTTGTGGGAGGCTGGGGAGATAGGCTAAAGCTTCTAAAGGCAGAAATATCTACAGTCTGTTGTACTTAGGAAGCAAAGATCTAGTGCAGCGGTTCTCAACCTTCCTAATGCCACGACCCCTTAATACAGTTCCTCATGTTGTGGTGACCCCCCCAACCATAAAATTACTTTCGTTGCTACTCTATAACTGTAATTTTGCTACTGTTATGAATCATAATGTAAGTATCTTTTTGTTGTCCGACCCAAAGGGGTCGTGACCCACAGGTTGAGAACCGCTGCTCTAGTGGAAAGCAGCTTGCCTCAAAGGTATGTACTTCCATTTAAAACATTTGCCTGATTTTGAAGGAGTTTGGGATATAAGCTGGAGAATTGTGTTTTTCAAAATTTGAGTATCAGTACATAATCACCCATTGTTTTCAGAGCTGAAAAAATAGAGGCCCGTGGGCTCTCGATAGGAAGTCCACTATGGCATTTTTGTTTTATTAAAATGACACTATTTCTGGGGGCCAGCCGAGTGGCACGTTGGTTAGGAGCTGGCTTGAGATGCCAGCTCTGAGCAGCAGGGCCCTGCTTTGGATCCCACATGAGGGCCAGTGACGCTGCACCCTCTACAGCTAAGATGGTGAACAACAGCTCCACCTGGAGCTGGGCTGCTGTGAGTCACCAGCAATGGCGTAGGTTGCAGCCCCTACTGCAGTGGGGCTGGCTGTCAGCTGGCATGCACTTTCATGAGCTGCCAAGAGCCACTGTGAGTGGCCATCCAATGGCCGGTGAGCAACTGCCTCAGCCGGGAAGAGCGCAATGATAATACCAACATAGCGCAATGATAATACCAACCAGTGAAGCGACGTCCTCCACAACTAGACTGAAGAACAAAAGGGCAGAAACTTGTCTGTTCCCCTCCCCCAACTCCCCAACAAAATCTTTTTTTTTTAATTATCACACATATTAAGAAGAAATTATGGCCAATAATAAAAAACCAACAACAATAAAGATAATAAA